GCCTTTTTTTTTTTTTTTAAACTTCTGTGCCCTGGATAGAGTTTTATTTATAATATGTTTGAAAATGGTCAAATGAAGATTTGCGCTATGGTGAACAGTACCATCGGCAGAGCAACGGCACGAAGCAATGCCACTTTGTGATTAATAAAATATTTCCACTCAAGCAATTATACACTTTCCAAGTAAGGGGTGAGAGAGAGAGAGAGAGAGAGAGAGAGAGAGTGAGTGTGTGTGTGTGTGTGTGTGTGATGCATAAAACACATTTTGATTTTTTCCATAGTTAGAAAAGAACAATTTAAGTAACGGCTCCTGAAATAATCATAGGGAACGTGGGGTGTCTCAAGGTACCTGTGATCATGCTGGATACAATCAACGGCAAAATGATGAGTTTCAGCATCCTCATCAGGATTTCCCCAGGAAAGGCAAAGTAGAACTTCTCCAGATTAGACAGCTTGCTATATTCTCGAACCAAGACTCCTAAGGCAATCCCTAAGGAAAACAAAGATGGGGGAAAAAGAACATTGCTGAGCTCTCCTGTATAAATTTCAATGGAAAAATACTCCCCCCAAATGCCAATTTTAATGGCAAGAGAAACAGTTTAGATAATCTCTCGAGTCTGTAAATTTTAGACTTTAAAACCAAATCACATTTTAATGAGTAGGAAGTAGTACATGTTATTTGGTAAATCTATAAAAAATATTCTTCACATTGAAAAACTTGTTTTAATTTCTTTTCTTCTCCTTCAGTCACATTTATTATAATGACAAAATATCAAAAAATATTGTGTGAAAGAAAATAACCATCTTAGTCAACCCAATATAACTATTTTGTTTTTACACACCACACTTATTCATCTAGATGCTTTTTGTATTTTACAGTTTACATGTTTTCATTGTCTATTTTTATCATAATTACTCTTTTATAATTTTTAAAAAAACTCTTCCGTTTATGCAACTTTTATAATTTTAATAGGAACACAATATTCTGTTGGTTTGATATATTTACCATATTGTTGAACAATTGTGTTCTCTAATGCTTTGAATTTCAGTTCTTTCCAGATGATGACATGTTCAAGTTTGTCTGATCAAGAGGCTTTTTACAAAGTTCCTAATCCTGACAACCTTGGACATTTAGGTGTAGGATTATGCAAGGAGTGGAATGTTCAACGTCAAGATATGTCACACATTCTCTGAAAGCCTGCCTTAACAAGGCGTCTGCATGAAATCCTTCCGCTTGACGACTGATAACTAATAATCACAAACTTTAAATATTTCTTCTTTACTCTCTTCCAAATGGTTCCAGTAACATCTAACTGCTGTACCCCATCTCACTCCCCACATACCCCCCTTTCCAACCCCCCTTTTTTTTAACCAAGTAATAAAAAGGGCTGGGATGACTAGTACATCTCTTTTCCTCCATCAGCTTCTGAGGATGACATGCTAATTGGAAGGAAAATGACTATGGAGCCCGAAGATTCAACGAGGCTATCACTGGATATGCTGCCTTATAAATGTGAAAATTTAGAGTTGTTTGGGCACAGTTAAGAACTCTAGGGCAATGAAGAGAGATATGATTTATAATCAATACTATAGTTTTCATTTAAATTCAGGTATACTTCCCATACCTAATAGTAGACCAAGTAAATGAACCTCATAAGATATATTTGTGTAGTAACTTTATTCTTAGCTTAATTGTATATTCCCACCTATTTTACTTTTGCTCTGATCTGTTTTCTGCATTCATTACTGATTTCTGATCAGTCACTTTAAATTATTTTGGGAACAAACATATACACATAAACATTTCTAAAATTGCAGCTAAGACAGAAAAAAAGACTCTGTTATCAATGCCATTTGGCTCTTATTTTAAAACCTAGTGTTAGAGACTCCTGAGTGGTTAAGATACACTTAAGATGCAAAATATTTTAAGCGAATTTGAAAAGCTTTTTGTGCTCACTTCCTACTTAATAAATTGCCTACGTTCAGCTGCTCTATATGGAACACACCTATATTATGCCACAAGGATACTCTGTAATGCTCAATGTTTAGAAAAAAGAGACCAACCAGACAGACATTTTCTCTCATACTATTTACACGGCTTCAGTAAATTTCTGGCTTGTATGTCAAAGCTAGCTCTGTATGTAAAAATAAAGGAGATGTGTCTATGCTCAAAAACCAGTCACAAAAGCACTCTGTTGAGTAGCAAAGGACCCAAAGCGCTCCAATCTTAGGGTTTACATTACTAACAATTAACCATGCCTCTCATCATCTCCACCCCAAATGAATGCAGGGCAGTTAGACGGAAACGTGCTTGCTTTTCCAGCCTTTAGCCAGATACGGGTTTTTATAGCAGAGATAAAGTCACCACAAGGAGTCATTTTAAAGCAATCAAAGGTGACAAGCACTATAAATAGGTTATTGTATTTAGTAATGAAAGCTCTCTCTCAAGCTTGTGCTTGAGTTATCACAAATTGTATTACAGTATTTCTTTTTTCTTTTTTTTACTGAAAAGAATATAAAAATCAATTGAGACCTAGAGAAACAGTTGGGAGATTCACCCTGAGTCACAGATGCCATCCCCAGGAGTGGCTGGTGAATGACCTCAGCTAGGAGTTACACCTAGGAAATGGGTGTGTTTTATTTTGGTCTCAAGTTTGGAAATATTGGATGTTGGGTAAGAAAAAACACTTAAAGACTTTCCAGGTTTCAGAATGAGGTCAGGATTTCGCAGGGCATAACCTTCCTTACCCTTTTCCAGAGACAGAACCTTGGACTGGATTATGGAGCACGGAGAGGTCTCCAAAGCTAAAGGCTGCTGGGAATAAGTGCCTGTCTGGGGGTGCACAGGTTAGACTCACCTGGTAGGGCCACTTCCAGAACTAGAGAAGATCAAGAACCTCCCTGAATGGTACAGCTCTATGAAGGCCTTCAGCAGGGCCCACATGGAAGCCCTGCTGAAGGTAAAACTGTTACCTAGACCTCTGTAGCCCCCGAAAACACCAGGAACTCATTCCTGGGCCGCCTTCCTCCACACAGGCAAGATGATCCCAAGCAGGCAGCTTGGGAAGAACATGGCGTTAGAAGGACAGGCTCAAGTTCTGGCTCCATCACTTACAAGGTGTGGAAATGGGCCATAACTTTAATCTTTTCCAATTGTCAAGTGGTGGGATTAGAGGTAGGGGCAAAAGGGTTGGATTAGATGCCTTCAAAGTCCTCTCCTAATGCCCAAGATGCTGTGATCATCTCTGAGCCTTGGTGTGCTCAACTTTAAAATGGGATCATAGGAGCAGCTCATTAGCTCCAAGAAAGCTGGCCGTGCTTTCTTCAGTTCTTACACTAAATGTTAACAATATTGGTAAAACAGGAAATGAAGAAACTAGGGAGGAAAGCAATTAAGACTTCAGCTAGAGATTTCTCCTTTAAGTTCGTGTTCAATAATTTAAGCTTAAAAGAGGAGATGTCATCTCTTCATGCCCATGTTTTCTCAAAAATTGTTAGTTCAATAGCCTTATCTTGGAGGTAATGGGTGTTTCCCCCCTCTCCCACCAACACAGTGTTTATATATAGTTATTGTTCAAGAAATAATCTGGCAATCAAAATAAAGAAAAAGGGACAATTTTATGAACCTATCCACTCCTTTATCCCTTACCCCCATTTTCCAGGCCATATGTATACCCAGCCTTCACTCTAATGTATGTGTGTGGGGTTTTTTGGGGTTTTTTAAAAATTTATCTTTACTTTTGAAAGTATTACAAATGTACCCCTTTTCCCCCCATTGGTCCCCTCCATCCTGCACTCCTCCCCCCAGGCCTTCACCCCACTATTGTCTGTGTCCATGGGCTATGCATCTATGCATATAAATTCTTATGTTAATCTCTCCCCACTCACTCCCCCACCCCCATCCTCCCTCTGAGATCCCTGTCTGTTCCATGCTTCTATGTCTCTGGATCTATTTTGTTCATTGGTTTATTTTGTTAGATTCCACACGTGAGTAAGATCATGTGATACTTGTCTTTCTCTGACTGGCTTATTTCACTTAGCATAATACTCTCTAGGTTCCACCATGCTGTCTCAAAGGGTAAGGGATCCTTCTTTTTTTTTTTTTTTTTTACAGCTGCATAGTATTCCATCGTGTAAATGTCTGAGAAGATGTTTGATATGATTTCAATGTTCTTGAACTTGTAGAGACTTGTTTTGTGTCCTAACATGTGGTATATGTCTGAGAATGGCCCATGTGCACTTGAGGAGAATGCTTATTCTGCCACTTTGGAGTAGAATGTTCTGTAAATGTCAATTAAATCCATCTGATCTAGTGTGTCATTTAGAGTCACAGTTTTCTTGTTGCTTTTTTGTCTGAAGATCTATCCAGTAAAGTCAGTGGGTGTTAAAGTTCCCTACTATGACTGTATTTCTGTTAATCTCTCCTTTAAAGTCATTCAGAAGTTTTATAGTTTTTTTTCCAGCCTGTGTCTTTTGTTTTGAGGTGGGCCTCTTGTAAACAGCACATATTTAGCTCTTGTTTTCTTATCCATTCAACTACCCTTTGTCTTTTGATTGGGACATTTAATACATTTATATTTAAGGTACTTAGTATTGGTAGGTACTAATTAATTTTATTTCTTTATGCCTATGTTTCTCATTCTCTCTATTTCAACTTCTTATTACAACATTTAACACTCCTTGCAATGCTTCTATTTCTACTTCTAATTACAGCAGTCCCTTTAATATTTCCTGCAATGCTGGTTTGGTGGTGACAAATTCCTTTAGCTTTTTTTGTCTGTGAAGCTCTTTATTTCTCCATCTATTTTGAATGATAGCCTTGATGGGTAGCATATTCTTGGTTTCAGATCCTTGTTTTGCATTACCTTGAATACTTCATGCCATTCTCTTCTGGCCTGTAGAGTTTCTGATAAGAAATCAGCTGACAGCCTTATGGAAGCTTCTTTGTAGGTAACAGATTCCTTTTCTCTTGCTGCCTTTAAGATTCTCTGTCTTGGATTTTTGGCATTTTAATTATTATGTATCTGGGCGTGGGCCTCTTTGGGTTCTTCTTGATTGGGACTCTCTGTGCCTCCTGAACTTGTGTGACTTTTTCCTTGACCAGGTTAGGGAAGTTTTCTGCCATTATTTCTTCAAACAGGTTCTCTAACCCTTGCTTATTTTCTAGATCTTCTGGCACTCCTATGGTGCAAATATTATTACATTTCATGTTGTCCCACAGCTTAAATTGTCCTCCTGTTTTTTAATTGTTTTTTCTTTTTGGTTCTCTGATTTTTTTTCTACCCTGCCTTCTAATTTGCTGATATGATCCTCAGTTTCCCCTAATCTGCTGTTCATTCCTTCCAGTGTTTTTTTAAATTTTTTTATTTCTACTGTGTCATTCTTAATTTCCTTCATAGTTTCCATTTCTTTTCTAATGCTGTTGAGTATCCTTATGATCAGTATTCTGAACTCTGTATCTGATAGATTGCTTATCTCCATTTCAATTAGCTCCTCTTCTGGAGAATTCTTTTTTTCTTTCATTTGGGGCTTGTTTTTTTTGTCTCTCCATTTTGGCTGCCTGCTTGGATTTGTTTCTATGTATTAAGTA